TTAAGCCCTTGAACATTTAGTGTGAGGGGGAGCCATAATGATGTGGTATAGAGAAGATAGAGATGCATTCTCTCTGATGATAAGCAGTATACCCTGGGGATAAGAGGAGAGGGAAACAAACAGAGAAGAAGGAAAGGAGAGTGGAGTAGAGGGAGTGGTGAAGAAGGGAGTTGGGTGAGATGGGGGGGGGGGGGGGGGAGTATATATGGCACCCTATGGATGGAGAGTATGCTTCCTATCCAAAGGGCTGTAAGTAGTCCATAGAGTATCCACAGAGGGACAGTCTGGAACATAGTGGGGGCAGCAGTGGACAACCTCAAGGGTCGCCATGGCCAGCAAATGGGTAGTTCATTCATTTGGATGGTGATCTCAGGTAACCCAGCGTAGTATAAGGCATTATTGGCGAAGATGAGGGAGGAGGATGGGCAGAGGTAGGTTATGTGAAGGAACAAAATCTGGGGGGGAAAGCGGTGTGGAGCATATGGTTGGTTGAAGGGGAAACATCAGTCCGGCTATTAGGTTAAGGGGCTTTTTTTTGGCTAATTTGGTGGGGAATCACGTTGTTCTAGAAATTAGGGTTGGTTGGGTGCAAGTAAACGTACCAGGCAGCCCATAGGCAGAAAACAAGCATGTACTATAATCGTAAACCAGAACAAGACTGATATCCTGTCGATAACACGTGGTCAGAAAAATGAATAGGTAACACAGGGGTCTGTATGAATACCAGAAGTCACAATCTGGACTGTGAAAGAAAGGAGGAGAGCTCACCAGTTCTCAAGGAGAAACTGAGGTGAGAAAATAGGGCTATGTCGCTAGGGAGCAATAGAGAGGCGATACTTCTGGGATTCATAAAGAACTCCGGACTTGGAGGAAAGAATATGCAGGGGTACGGGGGAGGGATGGGGGGTTATAAAAGGATAGATTACTCAGAGACTTTATAGCAGGTGAGAAAAAGGTTCCCATGAATCGGGGTGCTCCTGAGTCGGTGGGAGTGGGAATCCAAGTGTGGAGAAACTGGGGGAGTCCCAGATTAATTTTATAATGGTTAATGAGAAGCTAACGACCATGTTGTTGGACACCCATCCAAAGTTTCTGCAGATCTGGCGCCCCTGGACTGATGTGGCCCAACTGTCTAGATTCGACCAGACCCTTCTGTCGATATAAGACTCTTCTGGCGTGATCCCCTGGAGCCCTTTCTTTGTCTTTACTTTCCTTGTTTCTCCCTTATTTTCTTTTTTCTTTTCCTCTTTCCCCTGTTCTGTTAGTTCTCATGATATTTGCACTGATTTTAATACTCCTAGAGAATCATACCTGCAATATTTTATATACCTGTCAGACTTTCTCGAGAGTCCTAGGTGTAGAGTACTGATGTGCGTCCAGTGAGGCTCCGTGCTCAGTTTTTCCTACCCTCTGTATTTGATTTTTGTGATTATCTTTGACCTTCGCCTACTAGCTCATTGGTCATTATTTGTTTGCTATTAACGCACTTTATAAGGTTTCATTCCATCTCTTTATGTGTTGTGATTATGTACTCAGTTTCTCTTTGTCAATACCTCAGTGCATTTGTTATGTCTCTCATCAGAAGAACATTATGTCTTGGTCTTTTGTGTCAGTGATCTTGCTTTTGACTGTTCCTTTGATGTTGTGTTGTCTATAATAAAATCTGTTGTAAAAGAAACCCCAGATCCTGAAGGATAGGGGGTTGTTGAATTCTGTCATCCCTATCATGTTAGGTGCTAAAAAGGTAGTTTCTAGGAACATTTTATTACAGAACCTGGAAGGCTTACATTTCCTGGTGTGAGGTTCACAGGTGACACCCACAAAAGTATGTGATTAGTAGGATCCTGTTGTTTCTTGAAACAGGCTTGCAGAAGAAATTAGCTGTTGGTACCATTAAGGACCAGGTTTCAGCATTAGCTGTTTTTTTCCAGAGACCCATTGCGTCCCTCTCTTTGGTCCGCATGATTTTGCAAGGAGTGTATTGCTCCTCCTGTGAGGTTGCCTGTGTGTCCTTGGGACCTGAACTTTTTGTTTTGGGGTTTTGCAAAAAACACCACATGTGAGCCTATTAGAGAGATTCCACTGGTCCTGTTGACTCGTAAGGTGTTGTTTTTCTAGTGGCAATCACTTCTGTGAGGAGGGTGTCGGAGCTGGCAGCTCTTTCTAGCAGAGAACCATTTCTGGTTTTCCATTATCCGCCCTTTTTTACCGAGGTGGTTTCGGTTTTCATCTCAATCAGGACATAGTTTTGCCTTTGTTCTTTCCTAGGCCTCAGTCAGATCACTGCATACCTTGGATGTTGTACACCCTGTAAGTGTCTTCTTGAAGATGACTGCACAGGTCAGGAGGTCCGATTTTCTGTTCGTGCTGCCAGAGGGGCCTAGGAAGGGGCAGGCAGCATCCAAGTTGCCTATTTCACATTGGATCCGCCAATTAATTATTCAAAAGTAAGATCCCACCCTTTTGGGTGAAGGCACACTCTACCAGGACTGTGGGGGCATCTTGGGTAATGCACCTGCAGGCGTCGGTGTGGCTCAGATTTGCAAGGCCCGCTACATGGTCTTCGGTTCACACATTTATAAGGTTCTACTCGGTGGATGTCGGAGCCGCAGAGGATTCTGCCTTTGACCGCAATGTTTTTTACGGATGGCTGAGTAGATCCTGATTGATGTTGACTATCATGGTGTCACCCTCCCCTCAAATTTCTTATTGCTTTGGGACATCCCAAATAGTCATGAATAGCCTGCTGTGTCCCGTGATGTACGATAAGGAAAACTGGATTTTTTCTACATATTTTATTTGCGCTTAGTGAAAAAAAAAAAACAGTGCTGCTCCCTAAAAAAGCTGAATAATAACTTTATAGCAATACAATATACACTTGTGAACCTTCTCAGCACACAGGTATTGTAGCAAGCAATAACATTTCCCGAAAGAGGGGCGGGACATCTGTGTCCCGTGATGTACTCCAAGAAATGGATTTTACAGGTAAGTATGTAGAAAACCTAAACATACACTTGGTGTTCATCTCTACATTTTATAGCAATGCAATATACACTTGTGAACCTTCTCAACACAAAAAGGCTAACAAACCACAATTTTGTAATAAATAAGTGCAATCTGCCATATGAAAAGTGAAACCAGCCATATGAAAAGTGAAAAAGTGCTTAGTCCAACATATATTCTCTGAGATTCAATCAAATCTTGAAAGGTGGTGAGCAAACGTGATTCCTCCACCAAATAAATGATCAGCCTCTTACCAAAAATAGTGATCTCTCTTTCCAGAGATCAATACATGCTCGTGTGCGTGTAGTCCGCACTCATCTCACTGATAGGATACTTCTACCGCCTCCCAGTGGTGTATTTTGGTTTCGTGTTGCCCTAAGCAACAAAAAAAAAATAGGAGGCCTGCCCCAGGGGCAAGAGCCTGACACCGGTCAACACCTCCCCCCTTCCCCCCCTGTGGAGAGAGCCTGACAATGACCAACAACCCCAAGAGAGAGACACTCTCTCACAGCTCTGGACATCCCTGGGAATAAGAGTCGGGCTCTGCATACACCATCAAGCAGTCTGTAGCCTCTCTCAGATCTCACCTGGTCCCCGTGCTGCATGCGCTGCCTCCCAGAAAAATGCCGCCCTAGGCAAATGCCTTGTTTGCCTTGTGGTAAATACTCCCCTGCCGCCTCCTCAGCATCTGCATCTTCTTGTGCAATAAACAGATATTCCCTCCAGAGTAGAAGATCGCAATGCTGTTATATCGTAAAACAATTTTTTTATGCAAAATAAGCAGACATCTACTTCTGGTGTTTATCACATTTTATTTCTATAAATATAGGGATGTGCACCAAGTGTATGTTTTTTGATTTTCTACATACCTGTAAAATCCATTTCTTGGAGTATATCACGGGACACGGATGTTCTGGAATTTCATTGCTTGCTACAAAAACTGAACTACTTCCTGTGTAGGAGGGGTTATATAGGGGAGGACCTCCTCTCTGATTGGTCAGCCAGTGTCCACATAGTCATGAATAGTTTGCTCTGTGTCCTGTGATGTACTCCCAAGAAATGGATTTTTACAAGTAAGTATGTAGAAAAAAAAATCCAGTTATTTTATGTTATTGATTTATTATATGTTTTTATGTGCGTTGCACTGGACTTTGCTTAGTTGTGCTCTTTTGACACCTTAGCTTAGTCTTGGTGTACGCTTTTTTTTTTTTCTTCCTTTTTCTTGTATAGGGGTATGTGATTTTTGGGGACCTGCCATGTATCTGCTTCATACCTTTTTAGGAAGGCCGTTGATGACTTGAATTGCAGTGATCCATCTTTCACTTGGCTAACTGTTGAAAATCTAGCTGCTGCAGTTAACTGCATTTTTGGCATCATCATTTGCGATGTACAAATGGCCTCAAATGATGGGTGTCCCATGTGTGGATGGTGCTGTGTTACATGAAACTCTTTAATTTAATTAAATCGTGGACACTACTGCAACTGCGGAACTTTCAGTGCTGAAGCTTGGTACAGTGATGATAGTGGGTCACTTGCTGTCACTGCCCAACTTGTCCATTCACAGAATGCATTGTATTCTTTTCACAGTTCTTTCACTGAATCAATGTGAGGAGATTTTGATGTTTACCCATCCTTGTGCTCCCCTTGTCTATCCCTATAATGCCTTCTCTGGAAAGAATACAGAACATTTTGGGAATAAACAAGGTAGAAAGTGAGCAAACCCACTACTGTCCCTGTACTAGAACCAGAGCTGTAAGTTGCAGCATTGGAAATTTGTTGCTTACAGCAATGTACAAAATAAAAGAAACTATGAGTTTTACCTAACGCAGTACTATCCACTCATGGGACACCCTGTAAACCTAATTTATTTTTACATCGCAAATACCAAAGAAAATTGTGTTTTTTGTTTTTTTGTTTTTTTGTTTTTTTCCCACTTGGAGTTCACCTTTTGAAGCAAACATGATCAAGCAAAATGACAGCTGTAACTTGTTGTGCAGACAGGTGACTGGACATGGCTGAAGGAGTTTTATCAGAGGTTATGGACCAGAAGTGGCAGAGAAAGAAGAAGAGTAAGGAGCACTGGTACCAGAAAGCCATCCTCTCCAAGTTCCTCTATTACAGGTAATGTTTTCTCCTGTACATTTAAAAGATGAATAAAAATAACAAAAACCGCAGGCTACTTGTGAAAAGTGAACATGTATTCAATATGGCTAAAAGGTTGGAAGAAGGAAGCCGTATGTACCTTGTAACAATATTCCTTTAGTGAGTGTGGCTGTGCAGCCATATTTTACTTGTTAGTCGTGCTGTAAGTGTCCTGAACTACACCTTTTATATCAAAGGAGACCTGAGACCTCTACTGAAGGAAATATGAGAGAGGCTTCTATATTTGAACTCCTTCTAAAACCACAATTTGCTTGGGTGCTCTGATCTGGAAATTGCTGTCCTAAAGCAAGCATGTAGCAAACAAAGTCAGGACTTGTGGTCTGCATACCTAGAGCGTAAATCCCTGCTAGTCATTATATTAAACGCACCTATTAAGGCCACTGGAACTGCATGCAACAAGGGGGGGGTTGAAGGACAGCATTAGTCCTTCCTTTTTTTTTTTTTTCTCCAACACAGATTCCAACCATTTTTTAATATTCCAGTTTCAGATCCTAGAAGTCCCAGTAGAAATTCTCACGTTAGATTGTTACATGGTGGGGCAAGACATAGTGTTGGCATGCATAGAGGTCAAGGGACTATAATGAGCCTGGAATTGGCATCCAGGGTCCTACCTCATGGATTGATGTTAAAACCAATGCAGGTGTTTTCCACTTTACACTGGAATGAACAGGTTTGTTTTAAATTATAAGCAATATCACCTTGATTCTCTTGACTGATTTTTTTTTTTTTTTTTTTTTTTATCCTTTTACGTTTCCAGTATTAATGGTGATGACACAGCTGAACCGGTACCCACCACCCCTCCTGAACCCAGAGAAACTCAGAATCTAAGTGAATCCACAGGAAGAGACAATGTAGCTTGGCCAGCCCCATTTGAGACACTGCCTTCTGTATCAGAGGAAGGGGGAGCTTCCAATCAGGTTTGATTTAGGATCACGTGTGTGTGTGCTGTGTTTTGTGCTCCCCCATAACTTCATAACTTTGCGCTGGCAGCAATGTTTGGGTCTGGTTGTCATTCAGAGGTCTGTGTACAGGAAGTTATGGTGACATTACATTTGTATCTCCTACAGCTTTTATACTCTATAAATATGATAACGAGCCATAGCGCATATTCAGTAGCTATTCATACTGTAGCAGAAGTAGGCAAGTGAAGGTGCCTTCCATAGTGGATGTGGCAGCATGTCCTTTACTGCACACATTTTGCTGTTATTGTCTTCTGTGGAGAAGCAGAAGACTGGCAACTCTACGGCAATGTAGGATCTCAGGAGCAAGGTCACAGGCAGCACTGGACAGGGGTTCTGCATGGGGTCTCCCAGAGACTTGAACTTGATTTTTATATTCCTTTCAGTTCTTTAGTTTTCAGTCTATGCTTGCTGACGTGCCCTAGTGAACAGGATTCTGCTGAGATGGGAAGCAAGCCACAAAAGAACCCTCCCTTTGCGTGTGAGCCCTAAAAGAAAAGCTGTAATTAAAATGTATGTCCAAGCAAAAAAAATAATCATAATAAAAAAAACTTATGGCGTTTATCTCAGCAATGCATGCAGATTTCCCAGTAGTTTATCCACGTAAAGACTCTTAAGTACAGAAAATACCTGGTGATCTGCAAGTATGCACTCGGCTCCATTTTCCTGCTATGGGATGACAACACATGGCATTTTTGTGGACTGATTGGTGTCAGTCCTGCCCTGTTTTTCTTTTGCCAAACAAGCGATCAATGGACAGTTTTTGCACTTGTCAAGAAAATACAAAACACTTTTTCAGTGGTATTTTTAACAGACCAAAAGGGAGCAAATAGAATTTTATTGTTAGGATTTACATAACCTTTAAGCTAAATTACCTTCTGATGGAGGCTGCCATTACATGACCCACTGAGGTTACTACCTTGGAACTGGAAAGCAAGACATACAGTGGTGGGTTTCATCAGACAGGTATATAGCTTAATGACAGGTTTCTGTTATAACATAAAGAACTGGAACTGGACAACAGGGGGTTTATTTACTAAAGCTGGAGAGTCCAAAATCAGACTCCCTTCTGCATAGAAACCAATCAGCTTCCAGGTTTCATTGCCAAAGCTTCATTGAACAAGCTGAGGTTAGAAGCTGATTGGTTTCTATGCAGAAGGGAGTCTGATTTTGGACTCTCCAGATTTAGTAAATAAACCCCCAGCTGTCTGATTCTAAGTGCACTAAGCACTCATGAACAGCCACTGTGTTTTGGCTGCTGACAGGTTTACTGCATGTATTTTGTATAGCTATGTTTCCAGTGTTTTCTTCTATGTGCTTGGCGTGTCCTGTGTGCCATTACTCCTCATTTTTTGCATCATGTTGATAATTTAACTTTTTTTTTTTTTCTTTCTTAAAGGGTCTAAAAAATGACTTTGTTCGAAATATTCTGGACATTTGAAGATATCCATATGTTGGTTGGTTCTAATATGCCCATATTTGGAGGAGGGCGGTACCCGGCTGTTAGTCTGCGGCTACGGTAAGTCAGCATTGCTTGCACTTTTTTTTTGTTTATGTCCACTATAGATTTAAATACTATGGTTAAAATATATATATTTTAATATAGTTAAATATAAAAGATGCTTTAAAGGATACCTGAACTGAAAAAAACATGAAGGCTGCCAATGCTGTCCTCCTAGTTTCCTGACTGACCAGGCCTATTTTCAGTAATAGACTTGCTGTGCATTGTCATGATAGCCTGTCGATTGCGTGGAGGGTAGGCATCATGGGGCGACAATGCAGTGCTTGCATAGGCAAACCTTCAATGAGTTCTGTCACCCTAGGAAATAAAAAAGTTGCTGTTCAGCTAAATACTGATAGTATCACACACTGCAGTTAAAGGATAATGACTTTTGTGGAAAAAAAAAAAAAAGGCAATACAGCCACCACCGCTAATTACTGGTAATCTGTGTATATCCCATTTTAATCTTTGGGTTTACATACACTTTGAGGCTTAATTAATACCAGTGCACTCTATCTGTGGTGTGTATGCAATATTTTTTTTTTCTAATAACCTCTTGTGAGTAAATTTATTATTGATGTTAGAAGACTTGTTCTGGCTGTCCATTATTATAGTTCAAACCATATTGCATGCTGCAGTAAGGAGAAAATAAACAAAATTGCATGGCCTGTGATCTGAGATGTCCTAGGAAACAAAAAAAAATGCACAATAATATAATATATAATCCATAAAATACATGTTTTCAGCGGCTTTGCTTTTTTTTTCTCTTGAAAGTATTGGTTTCGGAGTCTGTGTAAATGTATTATGCCACAGATACAGTTTTCTTTTCTCACGAGTAAAATCCTAAACTGGGTGTTGTAATTTTAGGGATAATAATAAACCAATCAATGTGCTAACTGGAATTGATTACTGGTTGGACAATCTGATCTGTAACGTACCAGAACTTGTCATGTGCTTTCATGTTAACGGCATTGTACAGGTAAGATGTTAACCATTTCTACACTGTGAACTATTATAATGCTTAGGAAAAGAACATGCTCAAACATTATGCTTTTATAACCTAAAGGGACATACAAATTTGTAAAAAAAAAAAAAAAAAAAAAAAAGAGAATTATACCTACCTGTCTGCCTCACATTTTTGATATTTTCTATTTTAATGAGCAAATAAGTGCCTGACACTGATAACTATTTTGCTAGGCAGGAAGTGAAGGATGGTACAAAAAATTTACTTTTTTTCTTCTTAAAGTGGTTGTAAAAGCGCAAGGTTTTTTTTACACCTTCATGCATTCTATGCTTGAAGGTAAAAAAACTTTCTCTGTGCAGCAGCTTGCCCAGGGCCCCCCCCCCCCCAATACTCACCTAAGCCCTCTCTCGATACAGTGATTTGCACTGGAATCTTGGAAATCCCAGAATTCCCTCTCATTGGCTGAGACAGCAGCGGGAGCCACCTGCTCTTTGCAAAACCACTGCAGAGAGCAGGTAAGTATGATGTGTTTGTTATTTAAAAGAACAAATGTTAGCCACTTGCCCTCCAGAAGATTTACCACCCCTTCCTGACCAGGTCATTTTTTGCGATACGGTGCTGCGTTACTGACAATTGTGCAGTTGTGCAACGCTGAACCCAAATTAAATTTTTGTCCTCCTTTTTTTAGTAACATTGTACTACTTTGGGGAAGTGATCATTTTTTTTTTTTTTTCTGTGCTTAGCTGTGATTTGGCCACAGCTAATCACATGACATGTGCATGTGATTAGCTGTGACCATTCACAGCTAGACATTAGTATAGAATGGATGGCATGAATGAAGCCATCCGTTGTATACAACTGTCATGTGACCTGCTGTGATTGGTCACAGCAGGTCACATGGTACCGGCAACGGGGCCGATACTCAGATCTGTCATCGACCCTGTCCGAGGTACACGGCCGGTAACAGATCGCGCCGCTGTGCTGCTGCTCTGCAGGAGCGCAATCTGCGCATGTGCGGGAGGACGCCATATGGCGTCCACCCGGAACGCTGATGACATTTCGGCCATAGGGCGGGCGGCAAATGGTTAAAAAAGAAAAAATATTTTTTACTCGTTGCTATAAAACACATCCAATAAAATATAAGAAAAAATGTAAATAAAATTGCTTCATAAATGTAGGTCACAGCATTCTGACACTGGGTGGGAACTGACTAACTGCTACTGTTCAGAGAAATACAAAGCAGCATGTCTTTGCTGACAGGAGAGAGACTTTTGTTGTTTTACACACAGGTCTCTCCTCTGTGAGTTTTCCCCAACGATTTTTCCCGCCGGTAATCGCCAGCCAATCCCTAGCCACCAATAGTGGCGCGGGTAGGGCGGTGTGTATATATACTTGATTTTTGCGCAGCCATGTCGCCCCGTAGCTATACTTCTGCTATAGGGCAGCGGGCAAGCTGTTTAATATCACTTTAAAGTACAGTAGGGAAGCCTAGAACTTCAGTTAGCTTTTTAATGCTGGGTCCCTGGATATTGTTCTGCCCTTCCTCTGGTGAAACGTATGTCACATTACAGAACATGGGAAAAAAAAATTATCTAATTGAACCCCAGTTTGCAGTAAAAGTATGATAGAGGTGTACTATTCCTTTCCCTTTCTGAAAACTAAAATGTTTTGACTGGACATACATTTCAGATGTAGCAGCTAGCCTAACATTTTCTTATCTTTACAGAAATATGAGATGATTAAAACTGAAGATATCCCAAATCTGGAGAACTCCAACTTTTCCACCAAGGTGATTAAAGACATAGCACAGAATATCCTGTCATTTCTGAAGTCTAACTGCACCAAAGAAGGCCACACTTACTGGCTGTTTAAAGGTAATGCATTACAAGAACATTATTGCTGTTCTTCTGCCTGCTCCTAGGCTTCTGCTTCATGGTTTGATTTAGGCCAGAATCTTAATAAAAAAAATGCTCATTAAACTTTTCTTTAGTCTCTCCTGTCCTTCAGGGCACCAAGTATATGTTGCAGGTTGTCCCATTTGAACCACATCCCCCAGCAGTGTCCTGGTAGCACAAGTATTAGTGACTTCTTACATTTGACAGTACTATATTCACAATATCAGAGAGTTTGGAATAGTATCCTTTTGTATGGATTACCAGGGGTAAAGGAGTCATTCCTGACATGTGACTTGCTTTTGACTCCTTGTTGCACTGGACCGGAGATTCATGGTCACAGCAAAGGGGGTGGGACTAAAACCGCTGCTTGAATTAACAGGATTGCCCACAAATTGGGCTGCTGGCAGGGGAGGAGCTGACAGGAAAGTGGGAGAAGCGGGATTTAGTTTATTAACACACAGCATTCCTCTACATAACCAAGATAAGTACTTCCATATCACTCATTAAACCAGAATTCAAGACTTTTCATCTTTTAACAATTGCGTTTAATTAGTACAGCAATACACAAAAACTGAGGTACATTACAAGTCAAACAAGTGATCAGCTTCCAAAAATACACTTGGGGTAGAGAAAAGCAATGCAGTTCGTGCTACAGCCAATGTAAAGAAGTACCGTAAGTCATCCAGCTGGGAACAGAGGCAGAAACATAAAATTAATGTGCAAGCCACAATTTGGTATATTAAGTTTTGGACACCAGGGGGAGAATTCTCAGGAGGTGGGGTCATAGAGAAGAAAAAAAGGAGATGGGGGGGGGGGGGGGGGGGTTGTGGCTTGAAGGGGGAAGAGAAGAACATGTCATGTGGGTGGTCTTAAAAACCAAATATGAGTGCAGTGCTAATATGTGAAGACCACCATATCCTATATCTGCAAGGAGATCAATACAATAAGCAGTATCCAAAATAATTAAAACCACTGAAAACCAGATATATAATCTTAAGTGCACAAAACAGTATTAAGTGCAAAACTACACGGCTCAAAACAATTAAAGGAACACTTCTTAATCAGTGTAGTATCAAGTCAATTAAACTCCTGAGATATTGATCTGGTCAGTTAAGTAGCAGAGGGGGTTGTTAATCAGTTTCAGCTGCTTTGGTGTTCATGAAATTAACAACAGGTGCACTAGATGGGCAACGAGACAGGTGATACCTGGACCCTACAGAGGTTGCACAGGCAGTCCAACTCCTTCAGGATGGCCCATCAATACGTGCCATTGCCAGAAGGTTTGCTGTGTCTCCCAGCACAGTCTCAAGAACATGGAGGCGATTCCAGGAGACAGGCAGTTACTCTAGGAGAGCAGGACAGGGCCGTAGAAGGTGCTTAACCTATCAGCAGGACTAGTATCTGCTCCTTTGTGCAAGGAGGACAGGATGAGCACTGCCAGAGCCCTACAAAATGACCTCCAGCAGGACACTCCTGTGAATGTCTCTGACCAAACACTTAGAAAAAGACTTCATGAGGGTGGCCCGAGGGCCCGACGTCCTCTACTCTGCTCACTGCCCGGCACCATAAGAGCTCGATTGGCATTTGCCTTTGAACACCAGAATTGGCAGGTCCACCACTGGCGCCCTTTGCTTTTCACAGATGAGAGCAGGTTCCCCCTGAGCACAAGTGACAGACGTGAAAGGGTTTGGAGAAGCCACGGAGAACATTATGCTGCCTGTAACATTGTGCAGCATTAATGTTTTGGTGGTGGGTCAATGATTGTCTGTCTGGGGAGGTATATCCATGGAGGGACGCTAAGACCTCTCCAGGCTAGCCAATGGCACCCTGACTGCCATTAGGTATCAGGATGAAATCCTTGGAGCAATTGTCAGACCCTACGCTGTGCAGTGGGTCCTGGGTTCCCCCTGGTGCTTCGCAGTGACTGGCATCATATGGTGAGAGTATGAAGGCAGTTCCTGGAGGATGAAGGAATTGATACCATTGAATGGTTCCCACGCTCGCCTGACCTAAATCCCATAGAACACCTCTGGGATATCATGTTTCGGTCCATCAGACACTGCCAGATTGCACATCAGACTGTCCAGGAGCTCAGTGATGCCCTGGTCCAGATTTAGGAGGAAATACCCCAGGACATCATCCATCGTCTCATTCCAAAAAATGGAACCCTGGACTTCCAACTGGCTAACACTTTTCGAGGACTCGGCCTCTTCCTCAGAGCTCTGAGTCTCCGAAACACATTAGCCAGTTGGAAGTCCAGGGTTCCATTTTTTGGACTTCGATGCAGTGTGGATTGGACATTGCTGTTTAGTGTGATGTGCCTTTTGTCTTTATATGTCCATTGTTATATGATACTCACTTTTTTATCCTTTTAATAAATATTTTTTTACGATCATGCACTAGGCTGGTGCGCCCTCTTTTTGTTTTCTTTGCATTCATGGAAAAATTACTACCCACATTGATGGTATCTAGCACCCCAGTTCAGTAGGATTGAGGCCTGGAGCAAGACCAGAACATACAGTGAAGGAAATAAGTATTTGATCCCCTCTGATTTTGAATGTTTGCCCACTCACAAAGAAATGATCAGTCTAAAAATCTAATGGTAGTGTATTGTAACACAGAGACAGAATAGCAACAAATATTCAAAAGAAATGCATGTCTAACAAATTATGCACTGATTTGCATTTTCATGAGGGAAATAAGTATTTGATCCCCTTCACAAAACATGACTTAGTACAAATCCCTTGTTGGCAATCAGAGGTCAGATGTTTCCTGTAGTTGGCCACCAGGTTTGCACACATCTCAGGAGGGATTTTGGCCCACTCCTCTTGGCAGATCCTCTCCAAGTCTTTAAAGTTTGGTGGCTGACGTTTGGCAGCTTGAACTTTCAGCTCCTTCCACAGATTTTCAATCGGGTTAAGGTCTCTTGCCTTTGCCGTGTGTTTTGGTTCATTGTCATGCTGGAACACCCAACCACGACCCATTTTCAATGCCCTGGCTGAGGGAAGAAGGTTCTCACCCAAGATTTGACGGTACATTGCCCCGTCCATCGTCTCTTTGATGCAGTGCAGTGGTTCCCTTAGCAGAAAAACACCCCCATAGCAGAATGTTTCCACCACCAAGTTTGACAGTTGGGATGGTGTTCTTGGGGTCATAGGCAGCATTCCTCTTCCTCCAAACACGGTGAGTTGATGCCAAAGAGCTCGATTTTGGTCTCATCTGACCACAACACTTTCAACCAGTCCACCTCTGCATCATTCAGATGCTCAGTTGCAAACTTCAGACGGTCCTGGACATGTGCTTTCTTGAGCAGAGGGACCTTGTGGGCACTGCAGGATTTCAATCCTTGTCGGCGTAGTGTGTTATCAATTGTTTTCTTGGTGACTGTGGTCCCAGCTGCCTGGAGATCATTGACAAGATCCTCATGTGTAGTTCTGGGATGATTCCTCACTGTTGTCATGATCATTGAGACTCCACGAGGTGAGATCTCGCATGGTGCACCAGATCTAGGGAGACTGACAGTTGTTTTGTGTTTCTTCCATTTGCGAATGATTGCACCAACTGTTGTCACCTTCTCACCAAGCTACTTGGCGATAGTTTTGTAGCCCAGTCCAGCCTTGTGTAGGTCTACAATCTTGTCCCTGACATCCTTGGACAGCTCTTTAGTCTTTGCCATGGTGGAGAGTTTGGAATCTGATTGTTTGATTGCTCCTGTGGACAGGTGTCTTTTATACAGGTAACAAAATGAGATTAGCAGCACTCCCTTTAAGAGACTGCTTCTAATCTCAGCTTGTTACCTGTATGAAAGACACCTGGTAGGCAGAAATCCTGCTGCATGATAGGGGATCAAATACTTATTTCCCTCATGAATATGCAAATCCGTGCATAATTTGTTAGACATGCATTTCTTTTGAATTTTTAGTTGCTATTCTGTCTCTGTGTCACAATACACCTACCATTTGATTTATAGACTGATCATTTCTTTGTGATTGGGCAAACATTCAAAATCAGCAGGGGATCAAATACTGATTTCCTTGACTGTACGTGTATAAGAACCAACGTCAAGATCACATCGGGAACAAGCAGTCTATTTTCCAGGATAAATTGCAGCCAGACGTTGTGGGGTATAATACACCCTTTGAATAAATTTCAGCTGTAGGAAGTGATCTGTGCAGATATCATGGTAGAAGGGACATATTGCAAAAGACAAACCTCCAAGTCATCTTCCAAAAGAAATGGGTAATTCATGTGCCATTTGACATAGACGGAGGCCATTCTGGCAGAGGTCAATGGGTGGAGTAAGGAGGACAGTTGCTTAGGGAGATCCCCCTCCATTAGCAAAAACTCCAGAGGATCAGTTTTAAGGGTAGGCAGAGCAGCAATCATGTCACAGTTGCAGGAATCAGAAGAACATCCGATTAGGCAGATTATACATGCATTTCAGGTCATCGAAGGTTAGAAGGACACCGCTTGGCAGTATGTCTAAATATCTTTATACCATAGAGAACCCATATGACAAGATCCAGCACAGTGAACAGGTGAGGCAGGGAGGGATTACCCCCAAAGTGGAGTATATGGAGAGTAAACATTTTCCAACCCGTAGCGTACTCTAGCCTGTTTCCAAACTTTCAAGGTTGTCCGCATAGGAGTAGTGATGGCTGCATTCAAGGTCAGACCTCTGTATTCTAGGTTACTAAATTCAGCATAAAGCAGCCTCCAGGATTACTGCCAGATTATCTCGAGGCTGGGAGAGCCACCATAGCATTGTAACTAATACAGCTGCTCAAAAATACTATAATACAAAGCTCAGCGTAAATGAGTACACCCCAACAGATTTGTCAGAAAACCTTTCCTTTCAGAATCAACATTTTCTAAGAGACACTAGACTACAAAATGCTCCTCCAAATGTGGGCCATTGATTTCAAACAATATCTGGTAATTTGCATGCATAAAAAAAGTATTTTTTCTAACAAATTCATACAAGACCATGTTTCAAAAATGGATACACTGCAATGAAAGTCTTAGGAGCAAAACTAAATTTTAGACAACAAAATCCTAATTGACAAGAATTCAACTATAGGTGAGTCTAATTATTCATTAAACAGGTGTACAGCAGACAGTTGATCATAAATGGCGATGCTTAACAAAGAAAATCCCTTCCCATTTCATGCTGTCAGCAATGACACCACATGGAAGAGAAATGTCACAAGGCTTGAGAAAGAGAAAATAAGTTCTTTACACAAGAAAGGTGAAGGCTACAAGAAGGTCAGCAAAGCTCTACTTATCAGTCAGAATACCGTAGCAAAAGTGATACAAAATAATTAACAAAATGGAACTGCAACCATCACAGAGATGTGCAGGCTGTCCAGTGGTTAACACCTCGACAGCAGCATCTTCTGATGAGAAGAAAATTGTCATGTAAGTTCACTGCAGTTAGCTAAAGAGGTAGAAAGCCAAACTGGGGTGATTGTTTCCTGTGACACAAAACGGTGTGCACTGCAGAGGAATGTCATGCATGGGTGTCATCCATGAAGGAAGCCGGAGAGCCCATGCACAAAAGAGCCTGCCTAGAATTTGCCAGGGCCCATGCTGAAAAAGAAGACTACTGTAACTCCGTAATCTGGAGTGATGAGACAAAGATAATTGTTTTTGTAACTGATTGCTTCAAAACTGTATGGCTTCGTAAAGGTGAGGAGTATAAAAAAAAGTGCATGGTGCCTACAGTGAAACATGGTATCATAAATTCACAGATGTACTTCTCTATATTGAAAGAGAAGATGCTACCATCACTCCGTGCCCTTGGTCGTCATGTTTTTTCCAACATGACAATGATCCAAAACATACATCTAAGGCCTCTGTTGCATTTCTGAAGAAGAACAGGATGAAAGTGACCTAGTGGCCAAGTATGTCTCCTGATCTGAACCCAATCGAATCCCTATGGGGAATTGTGAGAAGACAAGCTGAGCATCACTCTCCATCCAACATCCAGGCTTTAAAAGAGGTCGTTCTTGAAGAATGGAAAAAGATAGATGTTGCAATATGTCGCCAACTTTTTAACATGCCTAGAAAACTTGGTGCTGTTCTTACAAATCATGGAGGTCATACAAAATACTAGATGGAGTAGTTTTTGTTGTGGGGTGTATTCATTTTTGCATCAACTAATTTGCGTAAAACTGAAGATTTTGTAATCTAAGTTATTTTATTAATCTTACTTTCATATAATGAGCGAAACAAATGTTCTATAAAACCCAGTTTTGTAAAACAATTTTGGAAATTGTTCTTGTGTTCATTGACATATTGATTAAAATCTTACATTTTAAAAGGGGTTCACTCGTTTATGCTCAGCACTGTAAATGGGGGAGCGCTAGACCACCGCGAATAATAGGAAGTAGTGCAGGGTCAGTTGTGAGAGTCGAGGTGTCTTCCCGGCCCAGAGAAATGGGGGGACTTTACTAACCAAGCAACGGGAAAAGGATCAGAATTGAAGATTTAATCCCTCATGAGATAAACTCTTTAATTTTTACTGTCCTTCTTTTTGAGTGTGACTTTTTTTTTTTTTTTTTTTAATGTGTTGCTATTTTTCATTTAGAATTAGCAGCAGTATGTGGTTTAAAAAAAATAAAAAATCAATTTCAAACTGAACAGTGATTTTAGAAATGTAGTTCTTATGATAGACTACTTGTAGATCATTTCATTTAGGACAGTTTTTTTTTTTTTTTTTTTTTTTTGAGACTATGGTAACTATACTGTTGGAAGGGTACAATGCACAGTGGTTGAGTGACTATAGGACAGTCACACACCAATTTTTATTACATTTAGTTAACTTTTTAACAATGTGAGTACATCTATCATAATGTTTGTTTGTTTTTTTTAATATACTGTATATATTAATTCAGGTTAATCTGAAGCCACTCTGCCATATCAGGGCACCTCTGATTAGTTTGGTTTCTAACTCTAATATATACATCAGACTAGGCCCACCTTCTTCTATTGCTCTGTGGTATCTTGATCTTCTTCTTTTTTTTGTATAATCTTTCTTTATGAAAGATTTTCAAAACAGAAGATAAAGCAACATCCAGTACGTTTAACTGTGGTACTGTTCTGATGTTCGTGTGCTCATTATAGCTGCTTTTGACTATGGGCATGGGTCTGCATGAGCACCCTGACCAGTTTACAGCTATACAGCCCCATACGCAACAAAATATGATGCACTAGGAGTTCTGAAACCTTTCTGTTGGAAACTACATGCACTTTTTCAGCAATTTGAACTACGGTAGCTTTTCTATTGGATTGGATTACACAGGTCATCCTTTGCTCTCTCCATGCGTCAGTGAGCCTTGACTGTCCATGACCCTCTCCTTAGTTTGCCAGTTTTCCTTCCTTGGACAACGTTTGGAAGGTACTGATCACCTGAGCCCGGAAACATTCCACAAGAAGTGCAGTTTTGGAGTTGCTTTGACCCAGTCTTCTACTATAACAATATGGCCCCTGTCATAGTAAATCCTTACTCTTCCCCATTTTCTTTTCTGTTTTCAACATGTCAAGTTCAGGGACAAAATGTTCATCTGCTGCCTTACGGAGAGCAAGCTCATCTGGAAGCAGCCTTTTTTTTCTCCTTAATCTTACAGCAACATGCCAGAAGCCCAGAGATCGCCTCTCCAAAGCATCTGAATACTTCCAGTATGCGTCTGTACTAAATCTAAAAAAGTAACAATGGAAGTCTTCAGCCGCCTTGCAGCGATGTCTGGGCTTCTGATGTGTTGCTGTACCTTCCCTAGCTGGGAACTCAGATTAGTGTTAAGGACCACATTTATCAGAGGTGCCTGGATGTGGCAGTGTGGTCTCTGCATATATCTGTAAATGTATGCAACAATAACCTAAGTAATTGACACTTCTTAATAGTTAGTTTTTTCTGGCTAACTTTGAAAGTGTAGTATTGTGTATTGTAGTATTGTTTTGCTCATGTGAATCTTTTTTCATTTAAAAAAAAAAAAGTTTCAAATAGATCAGAGCTGTTGCCTTTTCAGCATAGGGGTCACACTTGTAGTACAGTGCACCAGTAATTAATTATCTTCTAGCTGTGATAATTAGTGTGATGTCCGACCATCATGTGGTGGTATTTGTGTTTTTTGGCAGCCAGCGGTAGTGATATAGTAAAACTGTATGACCTCACTACTTTGTGTGAAGAAACAGAGGACAAATATCAGAACCCATTCACCATGCCAGTGGCTGTTCTCCTCTACAAGTAAGTGTCTTCTTAGCAGTCGCATCTTTCCTAGTGTTCTGATGGTCTTTTACATTATTTTTCTGATGATGCTGCCTTTTGTCACTGATCTCTTAGGAGATTAATGCTCCATGCACACTAGCGGTTTTTTGTTTTTTTTCCCTGCTCCTAGAAGCTAGTGTTATTCTATGTGTCCATGCACACTACTTTTAGGCTATTAGCTTTTTTTTTTTTTTTTTAGCTTCATCGTCTAGGAGCAGAAAGAAAATTTGTTTTTGTAGAGTTTTTTTGTATGCTACTAAATCGCTCCTAACAGCTTTTTTTTTTTTTTCTACATTTACTGTAAAAATGCTAATAAACTGCTTCTAAAATGCTTTTTTACTCCGTGTTTTTTTTTTTCCAGCTTTTTGTAGCTTAAAAAAAAAAAAAAAAAAAATGATAGTGTGCATGGAGCCTAAAGCTGAACTCCAGGATCCAGCCAACATTAACACTCATAACTCCCTGTTCTCATTTGCATCAAACATGAAACCAAAATACACTAAAACGATCATCTTTGGGAAAACTTAATCCAGCATTTATCTGTCAACCTCCAAGGTTTTTTTTCCCAATAAATACACACACACACACACCAACACACACCAACAGGTATTCAAGATACTTTAATGGGCTTTCATAGATGAAAATGAGGGCGATGTAAAAGCTTTATTGCACACCTTTTGTGAAGGCAGATTGTGATTCTCCAAAATGGTGCAATAAAGCTATTCCATTGTCCTTGTCCACCTGTTAGAATCCCTTTTTCAGGGCCTACTATACCTGTTGTTGGTGTGTGTTTTATATATGAATTGGAGAGATCTATATTTTGGTATTACTTTTTTCTATCTAGAGAAGACCTCCCTGCTGCCTCCTTACAGTATTTGCTTTAAATATGATCTGTCAGTTAAAAGTGAAACATTTTAACAACAAAGTAAAGCAGTGTGGTTATGTTGTATAAGTAGAGAAGTAAATGTATATAACTAAAGTGCTACTAGTTCTATGAGTAAGCTTTATAAAATAAAAAAATTGTAATAAGGTATTTTTAAAAAAAAAAATAAAAGATGGCTGTCTATTAAAAAAAAAAAAAAAAAAAAAAAAAAAAAAAAAAAGTGTAGATCTTTACCTGTGTTTTTGCTTTGTGTATACAGTTGATGCCATGGGACGTATATAATAAGGAAAGGGAAGGAATTCCACAAGCAGCACTATATAGGAACTATATGACCCAATTCCTTGGCCCTACCAATTCATAGCAGCACAGTATGATTTTATGACCAAATGTGGATTTCAGAGTTTTTTCAGTCTCCATTTACAGTGTCCTAATATGCTTTGTGTAGCCCTCTGTGTGCTGTAACAGGTTATAATATTTACTGTATATCTGTGCAGATCTTAGAAATTGACAAGAGGTGCAAAGCATGTCCCAGCGGAATATTAAACGAGCCCCTGAAGTATAATTAACTGCTGATGAGTTAGATAATTAAAATCCATCCCTCAATCCTATTTCAATAATAACATCAATAAAAGCCTTTATGACTTTGAACACGTTTGTAGTTTTAATCTGTGTTAGCTGTGATATTTCTCTAGAGTACATTAGAAAACAAAACTGAAACTTCTCTGGGGTGTTGCTCTGTAAAATATTCATCATGATGTGGAACTCTGTAAAACCCGCTACAGCCGCTGCAAGGCAGCTTGAAAATACTGTGCTTACTCCCGCTGTGTAGAGATGTACACTCATGCCATCTACTGGTAGCTATGTCCATTGCAGTGGTCTGTTGCTCTATTTTTTTTTTTTTTTTTTCTTTACTTTAGGGTGGCTTGTAATATGATGATGAAGAAAATGCAAAACAGGAAACATTATGGAACTATTCGTACACTATTATTAAACTGCCTGAAGTTGGTGGATAAAGGAAGACATCCTCAGGTAATGTATATGGTGCTTCTTCAAAAGTAAGCAAGTTGCTAAACTTAGCTGTGACCTTTGTACTATAATCTTGTTTACAGTGTGGTAGGTTTTACCATGGCCAAAAACCAGGATAACAACATATAATATGTCAATCATTCGAACAAGTGAAACTTTTTGTGAACTAATTGGTGAAAATGAAGAAAGAAATATCTCCTTTCTGTACTCGGTCTGATAGTGAACCAGGTTCACCATGTGCTTTGGTTGAAGCTCAGATTTGGGGTCTGGGATTATGGTAACATATTTCTTTAAGCAGAAGCATTGTTAGTTTTGGGGTCTTTCTACTCTCTCGACCCCCACTCTTTACCTGGCTTTTGACACATTGGATATTGTTGCTAAGTGATTGTATTACTTTTGTATTTTTTCAATAAGATCTACATGTTATATTTTTACTGTTCCTTAATACCTTGGACACCATGTATGTACTTTCTGCTGTGTACTCTGCCATGTAAGTGTATTTTGGAGTAAATGGGTAAAAGAAAACAAAACCAAAAAAAAACCCCCATGCCAGCACACACAAATTACTTGCCTTTGGGCTCGTTCACACTAGGCTGTTTTGCCAACGCTTGCCAAACGCCCCTATAGCGTTTGGCAAGCGTTGGTCCGGTGTTTGCGGAGCGTTTTTAACGCTCGGCAAACACGCCGCATGCGCGGTTTAGCGGCGGTTGCTAGGCGTTTGCCGAGCGTTAATAACGCCCCACAAACGCCTATAATGCATTTGAGTGGTGTTACCGCTCCGCAAACGCCCCGCAACCGCGTCGCAACCGCACCGCAAACGCCGGCCGGGCGTTTGCGGAGCGGCACCATAGACGAGAATAGGAGGCTTCAAAGCCTCCTGACTCGACCAGAGGCGTCCGTTTTGCCGCGACGCAACGCTCCTGTTAGAACAGCACTATGTGCTGTTATGTGCAGAGGTGGCAGAGGCGTTTGGGAAGCGGTAAAAACGCTTCCCAAACGCCTCTCTGCCGCCTGCACACAAGGCTAGTGTGAACGTAGCCTTACTCCTGAAATCCAGACGCTTCCTGTTGCTGATGTCACTGGCCTCACAGTGGGATCTTGGTAAAGTTCAGAGTCTTTCAGGATTTCAGTTCCTCAGCTTTCTAGACAAGACCACCAGAATCCAGTGCATAAGGTAACTAATACTGTCAGTATTTATTTATTTTTTACTTCCACCATTTTGTAATTAGTGGGTGGGGGATGACACATAGGCAGACCTTTTTTCCTTAACTCAAAGTCTGCTTTAAGTGACCTCTTAATCCAGATGGATATATATTTATTTAACCCTACTGGCTTCAGTAAGTACATTTGCTGAATGGTGATGACAGAAGATTTCAGACTATATGTATATTTTATTTGTATTTTTATTAATGTAGCTCTATCCTTTTGATTTGTTTTTTTTTTTTAATCCTCAGATTATTGCTTCAGCCAACTACATGCTGTCAGAGCTTTTCCAGCTGGAGCCAAAGAAGGAGGAAGGTATAGATGCTGCTTCCAATGGTAACTCTGATGAGAGCTACAGTGAGGAGGAAGAAGAGGAAGAGTTGGGGGACAGTGATGAGAATGGAGCATACAGCTCCACTTCTAACCCCTCTGAAGACAGCAAGGCTGTGGCTGTCATTAATTCAGTGCGAGAGCTCTCCGTTCCAGAAAAGTACAAGTCTACCCATCAAATCAGGGTAAGGAGAGATGTCCAAAGGCAGGAATTGTTCCACCTTGAATTGTAGGGGTTTTTCCACACAGCTTTTCACATTACTCATTGTTTTGTATTTTCCCAACATTTGCAGAAACTGTCAAAAACGAATAACTTTTAGTCTAAAAATAATTCACAAGGGCAAAATGAGTGAATAAAAAAAACCAAAACGCCAATCTATCCAACCATTGCTTCTGCATTGCAATTCACCCATTCTTGCATGTGTGCTCCTTTTTGCACTCAGCGAAAAGCGATGTAAGCGCATGCGTGGGTAAATGCTTATTCAGAAGGAGCTGCTGCTAACCCGGGCACGGCTGTGTACATACATTTATTTGTATTGGTGGATGTAGAGCACTGGGGATTTTACACTTCCACACACAGGAGTTGCTGAATGTCTGTTTAGAGATCCATCAGGTGAGAGCAGCACCCACACTTGGCTTTGTAACAACTGCAGCAGTTGGGTGAAAAAAGAAAATTTAGGGGACATCTTGTCAGCAGAACCAAAGCGAAAAGTTGCATGTAATTCAGCATGCCGTAAACTGAAAAATTAGGATATATTTTCTTTGGATCGGGGAATAACTTGTGGTTTCCCATTGGTTTTGCTGTGTCTTCCAGCCGAGCTGTGCATTTCCAGTGTGCAGTGACACCGAGGAGCGTTGCAGATTGGTGCTTGGCTATGTCTTGGAGGTGAGTTTACTGTCTGACTTGCTATGTTTAGTTTGTCTTCTCAGAATGTTTTTTCCAAGAACTGTAATGGTCTGTGTTCTTCTAAGGGCTTGAAGTCTATTGACGGAAGTGTTAAGAAAGAAGGGGAGCTGCCTGCGGCAGACCCCAACACTCCGATCCCGCTGAAATATGAGGACGATTCTGCAAACGTTGTCTCTGATTGTTTGGAGAAACAGATGCAGTTATTCCTACACAAGGGTAAGCGTTCACCCTGTCCATCCATGTAGTTTTTATATTATGCATAATGTTTTCATAGCGGTCTTCTTCACTTCTTGGGTCTCTATTAAGAACTTAATCTAAAAAACTTTCCACTGTTTTGCCTGTCCTGCTGCAGCTTCAGCATCCAGATCTCCTCCTTTATAGTCATTGTTCCTATGTTCTGAATTGCCATAAAAGAATGGGAAGTTCTGTTGGTAGTACTTGACCTATGCAGGAGGAAACTGTGAACAGTAGAGGGGCCCCAAGTGGCTGCAAAATCAAAGTTGGGGTGTCCCTAAGTTATATTGCATCTCTGCTCAAAAACTATTAACAATTTTGCATCATGTTCTGAAGCTGGGAGTGTCGCTAATTAGCAGTAGATCTTGTAATCCAGATATCAAGAATTAATTTTCTGCGCATTTTGAAATTAAATGTTTGGACAGTTCTTTATGACCAATCTGGGCAATACCCCCCCCCCCCCCCCCAAAAAAAAACAAAAAAACTTATACCCAATGGGTGCTCCAAGCAGTGATGAGTGGCTTAGTTGCGTATTATATAAACTTATATCTGCAACCAAAATGGGTGGTCAAGCCATAGATTAATCAATTTTCTTCCCTTCTGCCATGGATGGAAGGAAAGAAAATCTCTCTATTTTCTCCATCAACACAGTCAGTGTCGAAGAGGGAATGCCTCCTGCAGCAGCATTGTGTTCTTCCAGCAGGGAAAGGGGGCACGGGGAGTTTTCTCTGTCGTCAGAATACAGTGCAAGGAACAAAAGGTACACCACTCAGGCAAACAACCCAGATCAATCCACGACAGGTGCAGGCTCTGGTTCGCCACCACACACGATGCAATAGGAAGAAGGGTCAGCCGCACTCCGGAGGATAGATGAATATAGTGTGTATTTATTGGTCCATAGGACACACAGAACACCAGGACATGAATACAGGACTTGTTAACGCGTTTCACACGATCTTTTGCTTAATCATAGCACTATATTCATCTATCCTCCAGTGTGCGGCTGACCCTTCTTCTGTTGTGTCAGAATACAGTGATTACTACTAGCTGCCATAGCTGTGGGAAGTAATCAAATGCTTAAAATCTAGCAAGTTAGTTGTACCCAAGTACAAGTGGATCGACTTGGGAACAATCAGCCTGCCCATTGATGGAATGAAGCTCAGCCACTGCCTGCTGAACCAGCAGAGATTCAGTCCATTTATGGCCGGCTTAAGCAGCGAAGAAGAATTTGGTTACACCTTTATCTGTTTGACATTGGCAACAAGCAGCCAAATTCCTTAGTAGCTAATAGTTTTAATTTGCCAGTTTAAGGTGATTAGACTTAGAACTCAGATTGTTACTGGGCTCTGTGTTCCCTGTTGGGAAGATCTAACTTATTTGTCCTGAGAACCCATGTCACCAGTGGTGAAAGTCACAGCAACTAGGTTTTTGCCTGTCACAGCAAAAGGAGTACAGGGTAACTGTTTTAGTTGTCAGCTATTCTGGTGACCTCTGTCAGAGCTAAGATTTCATTTTATGGAAAATACCACTAACTTATTGTATCTTTAGACAGGAAGTGCAGGAGATTCTTTCCAAGAAAGATGGAGACTGTAAAAATCCAACCCTTTCTGCCTTAACCAGAACATGAAGAAATTTGTTAGCTGGTTTGTACTTTATAGATTCACCCCAATCAAACATAAAATTGTTTTAACAAAGTCTTGGATAAACTCTTTGACTTTCATGCTGTCATTCACTTTACACAGTTGCCCTGTTTCTACTGTTTTCAAGAAAATGCAGCCCAATGTGTTCCCTGGTACACACTTTTCGCCCAATCACTGACCCAGACACCCACTAGTTTGGCCATACTCGAGGGAAGCTACACTGCGAGATCCACCCAGGAGTTTGAGAAGCCTGAATAAACCTCAGATTGTACCGGACAATCTGAAAAACACATTGGCATTGTTTCCTGGACAGCATTAGCAGTTTGCTAGGTCATTCTAGCTCTTGCCTGAAATTGCTCGCTAAAGCTTTTATACCTAAAAAATAACAATACATCCTGCTTTTACTTATCTATTCTAGTGGAATGTACGGATAAACAGTGTTCCAGCAGATCTGGCATTGTCCCTGGCTCCTGGCAGTTCAAAATGAAGCTGCAATTGATTATTAAGTCTTCCAAAGCGTATTATGTACTATCAGATGCCGCAATGAGCCTGCAGAAGTATGGACGAGCGCTGAGATACATCAAGTTGGCTTTACAGTGTTACGGTAAGGTGCATAAGGAAAATACACTATAATTTGAACAAGTGACAAGTTTTTCATAATTTTGGGCAAATCTCGGATTTTAAAGCACTGTTTTCTATGCTGTTCAATTGTGTTTAAGACCCAGCATGTGAGTGCCACCTCTGTGTGCCAAGTACTTCTCTAGGTGTTCTCCCCAAGATGAAGTTGTCAGACTGGACCTGCTGTGAAAAATGTCTTGCCATACACCTGCCTGAATGAGGTGGTTTTATATTCCCATGTAGTGTCCACTGGTACTTTATCATGCCCCCACTAGTGGTTCCTTTGTAGGCAGAAACGATGATGGCTTTGTGTAAAGTAGAACTTCAGAAAAAAAAAAAGTTTTTTTTTTTTTTTTTTTACACTTTGCCTGGTCATGACAAGTTCTTTCTAATGCTTGTAAACCTGTTCTGGATGCTGGTGAAGTCTGAAAATGCAAGTTTAATTCATGCTGAATAATACTATCAACCACTGTTCCGGCTAGTTTACAGTGTAGGATTGAGTCGCTTGCTCTCCATTTCTTTACTGGTTCATTGACAAAGCAAGCCTTGTATCATTTTCACAGTATAGAAGGAATAATGCCTTACATTCTGCAAATAAAAACACAAAGCTTTTTATGGATCGGGATGACGTAGGGAAGGATTAGTATTTCGATCCTTCATGGTTGACTAGTCGAAACAGTCAGTTACTGTGCTTGAAGCTTGCAGCTAACAGTATTCAGCATGAATAAAACTAACATCTTTAGAATCCAGCCATAACCCAGACCTAGTTTACAAGCATTAGGGATAACTTCTCTAGACCTAGCAAAAAAAGAAAAAAAAAAACTTTGTTCCTGGAGTTTCACTTTAATTTTGTTATATATTGTTCTGCATTCTTTTTTTTCATATACAGGCTTATTTGCAAACTGTTTTTCATGACAAAGGATTCTCAAAGCACACAGAGTTGGCTAAAGGGAGAGCACAGCAGTAATCTTCTCATTTCAGGCATTCGGAACTCTAATAGGGACCTAAAGCTTGAGCCATCTTATAAAGTGAAAGCCATTTCACTGAATTCCTTTTTGTTTGCCAAAGAACAAGTGTCACTTTAGTATCAAAAGTAATTACAGAGTTATTGAAAAATCAATAAACCTATAGCTAAAATGTTAAAATTGTTTAACTCCTTAAAATGTGAACAACTTCTACTGAAGTGGTTAAGAATATATTCACGTCACCCTTGTTAACATCTATGTGACTTGTCATGCGATTTGACAGTTCAAATCACATGAAAAGTCGCACCCTATTGTTCGCAGTGGAAATGTTCTAAGCGGTGTGACTCAGACATGGATTTTGAAAGTAGCTCCTGCACTACATTTGGCGATTTCAGGTGCGACTGGCATAGACATCTGTAGATGAAGTCGTACTGACAAGTGAAGTAGCACAATTTCAAAGTTCTATTCAGTGTGAATTCAGGCTTCAAATACTTTGTAACTCAATATTTCCAGGCAGATTAAACAGTGTACCATTTCATTTTGTTTTTTACACTCGGCTACACTCGGGATTACCCTGCAGCATTGCTCTGTGATCCCTGTTTCACTTACTTTGTCCTTCGCTCCTGCGATGTCACCCCTGCAGCATCCTGGGCCATCTCCTTCGGCCGATGCCAGCATCTGTCTTCCGGGTTCCGGTCCCTGCGAGCGTCAGAACATACGGGGGCCGGAACCGGTTGGAAATTTTAAAAATTTTAAAAAGTGACTTTATTATTTTATTTATTTCACGTACTTATATAGCGCTGTCAATTTATGCAGCGCTTTACATATATTGTACATTCACATCAGTCCCTAACCCTCAAGGAGCGTACAATCTAAAGTCCCTAACTCACATTCATATATACACATACTAGGGCCAATTTAGACAGGAGCCAATTAACCTACCAGCATGTCTTTGGAGTGTAGGAGGAAACCGGAGTACCTGGAGGAAACCCACGCAGGCACAGGGAGAACATGCAAACTCCATGCAGGAGGTGCTGTGGCTGGGGCTCGAACCAACGACCCTAGTACTGCCAGGCGGAAGTGCTAACCATTTAGCCACTGTGCTGCCCATTCACTCAATACACTAAAATCACATAGTATTACATTACTGTATCAAATCATTTCACATACATTTTGTCCCGAGTACCTTGCCCTGTGCCCTGCCTGCATATTTACCGTTCTTTCTTCCTTGAAGCTGAGAAACGTCCATGGCGTCCAAAAAGCGTCCCTTTATGTCAAAAGTGGTGTTAGACCGGCTAGAGAACAGCGATAGTAAATCAGAACCACTTGCAGAATTGAGTGATAATGATTCGTGGGGAAATTCGTCATCAGACACTGAAAACGATTTTGCAGCTAAGCTCAGGGATGTGCGAACTTGGCGCTATATTTCAGATTTCAGTGTTTTTGGTTTGATTACATTATTGAATTAAATTTATTATTCTATTATTATTTTTATGATTATTATATTTTAATTTATGATTTCGTGTTTTAAATTTTATCCTACCCGGGATGTTTACTAGACTCTTGTTCAGACAGATTTCAGTGAGTTATTCCTAAAAATTACAGGCCTACAATATAAAAACAACATATTTCCATGCAAAAAAAGCTCCGGTTTGAGCACAGAAATACTGACATTATCAGACTGCTAGGGAGGTTAAAGGAAAACCTTTCCTGATTTTATTATGTAACCCGCTACTGCTGGACTCTTTCTGAAAATGCTAGTTTCCTGAATTTTTTCTAATGGCTTGCTGGCTTCAGTACATCTGAGTTACTGAGATGGAACAAATGTGCAGATAAGGGAAGTCTGAGTAAAACAAAACTTCCTCATCGCTGTACTTGTTCTAGTTCAGAGACTCGTAGCATAAAAACCAGAGGGTCAGCAGAACAACCAGGTAACTAACGTTTGCAAAATGAGAGGTCAGCAATTTGCAGGCCCCAAATTTCTCTTATAGGAAAGAGTACACTTAATTTTTTTTTTTATTGCGGTTATATGATTTATGTGCATACTACATGTGACCCTCCCCACTGAAGTGTGTGTGTGTGTTGTAAGGATACTCTTCACTTTCACGGCAATGCCTACATAGTGGATTTCTTTTGAGAGGATTGATGCTTGCCAAACAATTCACACAAGGCTTTTGTGAAGACTGAGATGGGAAAAAATTGTTGATAAAAAGCTCTCTTTCCCCCTTGATTGTCAAATTCATTCATGTGAAGTTGTGATGCGCTGACCAGGGGCGGACTGACAACTCATGGGGCCCCCGGGCAATAGGGGATCATGGGGCCCCTGTGTCCTTGCTCAAACTCAAAAAAGCCTATGAAAAAGGTACCAGGGGCATCTCATGGGGCCCCCTACTGACCCCAGGCCCTCGGGCAGTGCCCAAGTTTCCAAATGGTCAGTCCGCCCCTGGCGCTGACCATTACAAAGTGTGTTTTAAAATTCGTATATATTTATATTGTTAAATAATGTTGTCAATCTTCATAGATGCCTACAGCTGCCTGTGTACCAGTCAAGTTCCCGATGTCATGCTGTTACTTTGCCAGTACCTCACTCTCTGCGGAGACATCCAGCTCATGCTGGCCCAGAACGCAAGCAACCGAGCTGCATATTTCGAGGAGTACAATTACCAGACGAAGGATGACCAGGAGATCCTGCACAGTCTTCACAGAGAATCTAGTTGTGATGGTGGGTATCACAGCCACTCCTACATGGAAGAACCGCTTAAAGCAGAACCCCAGCTTCATCCACTGTAGAACGCTCACATAGTCAATCTGAGTGGCTAAGAGACAAACTGGGAAGCTTATCTCTCCTTCGAGTTGAAATTGGAGATCAAAAGCTTTGTAGCCTGAGCACAGCTACACGCAGATTGGAAAAAAAAAAGCTGTATCCTCCTCCTGTGTCTGTTTGAAAACTGTAAATGTGCTTAAAGGCTAACTTCACCTTTAGTAACATGTTATACCATTATTTAGGGGGTAATATGTTGCTAAGAAACTCCCAAAGTACCCCCCCTTCCCCTGTGACAGCATGTGGAGGTTCTTCTCCTCTGCAGCTGTTCAATTTGCAATTGCCACACCTGCATGGGGCTTTTCCCACATAGCTGCGTCATTCATTCACAGGGATCTGTGTGTGATAGAACTAAAAGTCTCGTCTGTCTCTGCGGCAGAAAGACTTGGTTTTCACTGGAATATGTATATGATAGTCAGCGCATTCATATTCCATTAACTCTTCCTCCAGATATCCAACTGAAAGCCAATAGGAAGGTGCAAACTGAGAGCTGGAGGAAGAGTTAGCAGGGGCCTGGCACTGCGCCTGCAATCCACTACGCAATGCATTGCAGACGTCTGTGAACAAAAAAAAAAATAAATGCACTTTTTTTTCCTGTAAAAATATTTGCATTTATTTTTAAAGATGAACTTGGCCTTTAAAGAGAACCAGTCACCATTGGGCCTATTCTAGAACCTAGGATTTCAATCTTATAGGGGTAGATTTGTGAAGCTTTACTTATCCAAAGTAAGGATAGCCGACTAAGAAATCTTTCCTATTTCTAATACTTTAAAGTCGAACTAAAACCACTCTTTTACCGATTCTCTAAATAAACCCTTTCTTGCTGAAACATACCATCATTGTTTTCTGCAGTGTTTCCATTTATATTCTGCCTACTAGTGCATGAGCAGTGTATGCTACATTCAAGGCATGCCTGTCAGAATTGACCTTGTCCTAATGGATTTATGTTCATGGGTGTTTGGAACAAATCAAACACAGGTCAACAAAATGCTATTGACTTTAATTGGGCAGTTTGGAGGCTGCATTTGACCTGCATTGCATTGTGCTGCTTTTCTATGTACAGCATGTGAACTGCAGGTAAAGGAAGTCAAGCATAGCCTTTTTTGTCATACACTGTTTGCTTTTGAATAGCAGACCCAGCATTTAATAGGAAACACCTTTCAACATGAGTCCTGTGGCAGTTCACAAGTGATCTTTTAAAGCGGAACCTTTTCTCTTAAATGTAGCAAAAGGTCTTATGCCGCATTATTGGAGGAGCGATAAATGCCTTACATTGCTTGATTGGAGGCTCGAGGTAGATAGAATTATGGAGTCAGAGTGCTGGGATCACAAATGTAAAAGAAACGATGATAAATTGTATAAGTCGTGGGCTATATGGATCCACATGGGCTTCACAGATGTATCTTAGAGAGATTGTATAAAGTATTTGAATTTTATTAATTACTGTGTATACTCCACCAGTGAGGAAGTTACTTTTAGGGGCTAAAACAGCTGTTTGTATATCCCTACAATTGGTAGAAAGTCAAATATATCTATCAAACCCGCCCTGCAGGCCAGAGTACTTGGTGTCATTCTGGACTCCAACCTATCCTTCCAGCCCCAAGTCCAATCTTTAACAAACTCGTGCAGACTCCACCTCCGCAACATCGCCAAAATCCGCACGTTCCTAACCCCAGAAACCACTAAACAGCTCATCCACTCCCTCATCATATAACGACTCGACTACTGCAACTCCCTCCTCACTGGCCTGCCTTGCCGCTGGCTATCCCCGCTTCAGTCGATCCTGAATACGGCTGCCAGACTCATTCACCTTTCCAACCACTCCGTTTCCGCCACCCCCCTCTGCCAATCCCTCCACTGGCTTCCGATTGCGCAACGGATCAAAGTTAAAATCCTAACACTGACATACAAAGCTGTCCACCATACTGCCCCGAACTACATCACTGACCTAATATCCAAGTACCGCCCAGCACGCACACTCCGCTCCTCACAAGACCTCCTTCTCTCTAGTTCCCTGGTCTCCTCCTCCCATGCCCGCCTCCAGGACTTCTCCAGGGTGTCACCCATCCTCTGGAACTCCCTTCCCCAACCCATCATATTATCACCTACTCTCCTCTCCTTTAGGCGCACCCTGAAAACCCATCTCTTCAGGGAAGCCTACCCCACCCCCTGCTAACTTGACCGACCTCCTCCACTCTTCCTACCACTCCATCCCCCACAGCTATCTCCTCCTGTGCCACCATCCCCTCCCTCCTAGATTGTAAGCTCGAAAGAGCAGGGCCCTCAATCCCCTCATGTTTTGCATTGTATTGGTATTGCTCTGTCACATGTTCTGTCCCCCTTTGTAATGTACAGCGCTGAGCGAACTATTGGCGCTTTATAAATACTGTATAATAATAATAATAATGAAAATAATATAAAAACTGTTGTAGCTGATTGCATAGTGGTAGCTAATTATTTGAAGAAGAAAAGCGAAGGGGGGGGAGTGCAGATCAAAGGCTAAAATGGCAACTTCCATGGCTGTAAAGGTTAGGGGAGTTTAGTTCCGCTTTAGGCCCTCAGTTGGCTGTTGATTGCAGCACCATGGCAAATACAAATTGCCCTTGGTGGATAGGAGGTTTGTATTCATTGGTTGGCGATTACCTGAAGCCTGAGTTGCTGCTTTGTTCTTGTGCCTTGTTTCCCAATGTCTGAGTTTGCAGAGTGAGCGAGTTTGCACATATCACCACTTGCAGACTTCAGATGATCTTTCTCTCCTCTTTATTGACATATGTGAGAGAGAGAAGTTAATGTACCTGTATGTATAGCATTTTGGGAAGTACCTTCATGTTTGCTATAGATTCTGAAAAAAGTGCCTATACCTATGCAAAGGGAACCATTAGGATCCCAATTTAACTACAGTCTATCTAAGGCAGTCATTTTGTTCAGTTCCAGATCACATGTGCTGACAGCAGTACAGAATTTGTAGATCTGAAAGTGGTGCAGCGCTACACATACATCTTATAGTAACATGGGAATACAGGAGATGAACACATAAATATTTAGTGATGGGCCCACATGAACACCAGCCCCCACTCAATGAACTAGTAGCAAGGACAGAACACACTAACTCCTCCTGATCCTCACCTGAGGGATCATTAATCAGTGCAAAAAGTGTGTGTATCCCTATATGGGATAAAATACTAGCACAGTGAACCGTGAAAAACGCTGCAAACCAATACAGCCGCACTCTACTCCTTATTGCGCATAAATGCTGCAGTATGAAAATGTCCACAATGATGCAACAACTTCATCACACACATGCAGGTGATATTCTGGTACTTGTGCTGATACATGCAAATCCTTAAATAGCTGAAGTGCCCCCTCACCTTCCTGCCAAGGCCCCACAGGACCAATGCGCTTCATGGGTCACTTAAGCGGTCCTCCCAGGAGAAGGTGGTCTTCTTGGTAGTGATGGTGGTACTCTCTCCTCTCTTTAAAGGTTTACCTCCAGCCACTAATACCACTGCTGTTTATTACTTTCCATGAACGGCCCCAGTATTGAGACAGAAAATAGCCAACATAGTGTAAAACTGTTTAATATTGACACCAAGAGAAGTAAAAAATGCCCACTCACAATTTTGTAGTCACAAAAAAGCCTTCACACCACACTATGGGTGTCAATATTAAACATTTTTACACTGTGTTGGCTATTTTCTGTCTCAATACTGGGGCCGTTCATGGAAAGTAATAAACAGCAGTGGCATTAGTGGCTGGAGGTAAACCTTTAAAGAGAGGAGAGAGTACCACCATCACTACCAAGAAGACCACCTTGTCCTGGGAGGACCGCTTAAGTGACCCATGAAGCGCATTGGTCCTGTGGGGCCTTGGCAGGAAGGTGAGGGGGCACTTCAGCTATTTAAGGATTTGCATGTATCAGCACAAGCACCAGAATATCACCTGCATGTGTGTGATGAAGTTGTTGCATCATTGTGGACATTTTCATACTGCAGCATTTATGCACAATAAGGAGTAGAGTGCGGCTGTATTGGTTTGCAGTGTTTTTCACGGTTCACTGAACTAGTATTTTATCCCATATGGGGATACACACACTTTTTTTTTGCACTGATTTAATGATCCCTCAGGTGAGGATCAGGAGGAGTTAGTGTGTTCTGTCCTTGCTACAAGTTCATTGAGTGGGGGCTGGTGTTCATGTGGGCCCATCACTAAATATTTGTGTTCATCTCCTGTATTCCCATGTTACTATAAGATGTATGTGTAGCGCTGCACCACTTTCATATCTATTTCTATATCTGTACCTTAGGTTGAGGTATTTTAGTGCCGGCTGCTTACTCGCAATATTTATCCATATAAGCGCAGGAGGTACTATATATTCTTGTCAGGGCAGGGCTGTGGAACGGACAGGTAGGCCTAGTGGCAGGGTAACGCACTGGCTGACGACAACCACCACCAACAGACCGAAGTCCCTCAGGGCGCGGAGTCTAAGTCCCTAGGCTGCCCTTCACCAGGGCCCCTGATGGTGGGGATGGACTTGACGCAGCCAGGAACCAGGTCGCGGCCCCCGAGACACCCCGGCTGCGGTAATGGCCGCCGCCAATGGCGTGTAGCTGGTGAGAATGACAATAGCGTAGTCAGGCAGGCCGGGTCAACAACAATGGGACAAAACGGTACAGAACAGTAGACAGAGAATCACAGGTCACGGGCCGGGTTCAGCAACGGAAGGTCAGATCGAAGGAAAACACAGAGAATGGTCTAGTCACAAGCCGAGTCAGATACCAGAAGAGTCACGAGCATATACACAGAGCTGTAGCAAGACAAAGACACAAGACACAAGTGCAAAGAGCAT